AGGAGCCCTGGAACATGGAGAGAAGGGCCAGCTGTGGTGTACCCTCCACTTCCACGCCCGTCAGTGTCTCATAAGTGGAGAAGATGGAGGACCAGAGCTTGGAAACTCCAGCACAACTCCACCATATATGCAACATGGAGCCAGGCTGCAAAGAGGACCTCCAGCACAGGTCGGAAGCCTGTGGGTAGAAGACTCGAAGACGGGTCGGGCAATAGTACCATCTGGACAGGATTTTAAAATTGCGCTCCTGGGTTCTACTGGCTATCGAAGTTTTGTGCGTGAAAGCAAGCGATCTGTCAATGTCCGAAGGGGAAAAGGTGCATGACAGGTCCCTTGCCCAGTCAGAAAAAAAGCTGGGTACGTCTGAGAATGAGAGTCGTAGCAGTAGGTCATATATAGTCGATAGGGTTCGTCCAGGAGGATCAGTATCTACACATAATCTCTCGATCGGGTACAATTCCCTGTGTAAGTCAGCGCGTCTGGCCAGATTGGCATAAAAGTCCCTGAGTTGGAAATATTCCAACCAGCGCCCCGGTAACGGAGGGAACGTTTCCAGCATTGAAGAAAGAGTGCGCAAGCCCCCCGCCGTGAGGGCCGAGCAGATGGGAGTGAAGTCTGCTTCCCGCCATCCCAGAAACTTCTCCCTCTGTTTAGCTGGGGGGAACTCTGGGTTGCCCATAATCGGCGTCAGAGGCCCCGGTCAAGAGGAAAAGGAGTCCCTTTTGAGTAGTAAATCCCATGCTCTGAGTAGTGGGGGCAAACAGCAGGAGAGGGATCCCGGTGCTGGACGGAATGCCGGGTCGATCCACGGTAGGGAGGAGGGAGAGATGGGCGATATCAGCGCTTCCAGCTGTACCCCTAGATTGTGTTGCGAACGGGATATTGAGTCGATTAGTCTAGTGAGCAGGGCAGCTTTATAATACATTTCAATATGGGGTAAGCCCACTCCCCCGTGTTGCTTCTGACGAACCAGGACCGTGTACCGTATACGAGCCGCCGAATTAGACCAGATAAATCGTAGTATACAGAAAAATGTATTCGGCACTGTAATCAGGACCGTCTGAAACACATAAAGGAGCCTGGGCAATATGTCCATTTTAAATAGCGCCAACCGACCAAACCAAGAGTGACTCAACCGGGACCACTCCTTAAGTTTGTGCTGTATAGACGTGAGTAAGGGTACATAATTCAACTCATACAGCCGCCCCATGCAAGGAGAGCCTGACCCCCAAATATTTCAGGCCATGAGTGGACCACACAAATGGGAAGGACTGGCTCAAGGACACTGTTTTGGGGCAGGGAAACATTGAGGGCTTCAGTCTTGTGCATATTAACTTTAAAGTTGCTCAGGGAGGAGAATATCTGAAATTCTTTCATCAGGGAGGGAAAAGCAATCAGGGGATTAGTGATATAAAGAAGGAGATCATCAGCGTATAAGCTTAATTTAAATTCTCTACCTCCAATTCCACAAATATCAGGGTTGGAGCGCAGGGCAGATGCCAGATGTTCCATCGCAAAGATGTAAAGGTAGGGGGAAAGCGGGCAACCCTGTCTGGTGCCATTGTTGATAGTGACGGGGTCGGACAATATGCCGTTAATCTTGACTCTGGCCGTGGGTGTGTGATAGAGGGCTAGGATTTTACTCAATAGGTTAGAGGGAATGCCAATCTGCTGTAAGGTGGCCGACAGAAAAGTCCAACTGAGGCGATCGAAGGCCTTCTCTGCGTCCACCGACAGGAGACAAAGCGTGATGTGATGGGCACGTGCATAGGCCATGAGAGTGAGGGATTTGGAGCTGTTGTCTAGGGCTTCCCTGGAAGGGACAAAGCCCACCTGGTCTAAATGGATCAGGGAGGGGATGTGGGTTTTTAGTCTGTTGGCGATAATTTTTGCGTATATTTTCATATCCAAATTAATTAAAGGAGATGGGTCTATAGCTAGAACAAACGGAGGGATCCTTCCCCTCCTTGGGGAGAACTACGCCTTGTGTTTCACTTCAAGATCTGCTAATGTCGTAAAAAGCTGAGAGATGCGCAGTGCCCGCTCCCTCTTTAATCTAGCCCCATGCTGGATCAGGATACCACGCAGAACGCACTTAAGTGCCTCCCACTGTACAGGGGGTAGGGTTTCATCTGTCGAGTGGTGTGCCCGGAAGTCTCGGATCGCAGATCTAAGGATGTCCAAGACAAGGGGGTCCTTAATGAGCGACTCATTCAGCCTCCAGGAGGGAGAGCTTTTAAACGTGCCGGCATCGAAAAAGTAAGGAAGACGGGAAAATGGTCCGACCAAATTTGAGGGCCAATAGACGCGCTCGGTCGCCAACTAAGCAAAGAATGGGACGTGAAGAAGTAGTCAATTCTACTGTACGTGGCGTGGGGGGCAGAATAAAACGTGTAGTCTTTTACCGTAGGGTGAAGTGTGCGCCAAATGTCAACTAATTGCAATGCCCGTAGTCGCTTATGTACCATATTTAAGGAAGGTAGTGAAATATGTGTTTTCCCCGAGGAGTCTAGTGTAGGGTCAATAACGAAATTAAAATCCCCCCCCACAATAGTATGCCCCACCATGAAGTTCTCTAGTTTGGCCATGACAGACACGAAGGCCTTCTTCTGACCCGTGTTAGGCATATAAATGTTAGCCAAAGTAAAGGGCTTCTGATATATTAGACATTGTAGGAAGAGATATCTTCCTTCAGGGTCCGACACAACTTTAGAGACCGTGACTGGCAGAGAGGAATGGAACCCCGCAGCTACGCCCTTAGATTTCTTTACTGGGTTATTACTGGTGTGCCACAGGGCAAAATGTCTGGTGGGTAGTTTCGGGGCAACCGAGGATTGGAAATGAGTCTCCTGTAGGAACAAAATTTGGATCTTGAATCCCTTAACATTCAGGGAGCATACGTTCACCGACGCCATAAGTACCTAAGTAAGGAGAAGAGCGAGATAATCAATGGACATACCCTTAGGAGACCTGAGAGAAGAAGAGAGAGAGAGAGGAAAAGAAAATAAAGAGAAGAGTCAGCAAGAGAATAATAAGAACCAAAACATACTGAGGGACAGAACCCCAGCGAGAGGTTATCGCTCAAGAGAGGGAACAAAGCCCACAATGTGGTCCTCCAGCTCCAATGTGGGGCTGTAGGAGCACAGTCTAACGGGGGCGAGGAATGCGACATGGTCCGGGAGCCCCCTTGACCAGCAAATGAAACACAATAATAGCATAACAATATGAAAGAACCTTTAACTGAAACAGAACTAAAGCATAAATGACCCTGTGATGAATAACAGTCCAAAACAGCATAGCCTTCCATGTGCAGAATGGAAAGGATAGTGGCGCACTAGTATGTGCTAGGGCAGGCAACATTACATAGAACCCTGAGATAGATACGGAACTGTAAGATAACAAATGTACAGTATCTCATATAGCCGGTGGTAGTAAGATATGACCAACAGTCATGTGCCCCAACACAATAGCGTTAGCGTCCCTGGGACGCATCGTGCCACAGGCCCAATACGTTCAATCTTCACTGTCCTCTGAAACATCAGCCCGAACATGGCAGCAGGCTGTCAGCATGAGAACAGGGTCAATATAAACCTTCCCAAAGGGAGCCGAGCCGCCAACTGGAACCTTTGAGACGTCAACGCGGAGTGGGTCTGAATGAGGACCTCCGATCTCTGCGGGGCTTGGGGGTAACCATGTGCCACTGGTCCTGGCTCGGCATGCGAGTGAGAATTGGCAAGGGGGGATCTGGCCAAGCTTCTATGGTGACTTCTGGTATGCCCAAGGCTGCGACAAAGGCCTGCAGATCTGACGGTGTCCTGAAGAAATGGACCTTGCCGTCCTTTCACACAGAGAGGGAGAACGGGAAACCCCAACGATACGGTAGCCCAGCTTCCTGTAGCTTCGTAGTGAGCAGACAGAGAGCCCTCCGTTTGGCAAGGGTGCGCCTCGATAGATCTGGTGCACCATCAAAATCCAGAGGGCCAGCAGCCTGCGATTTGCTCATTATTTCTTCCTTGAAGACATAATAGTGCACCCTGCATAGTACATCGCGAGGGCGAGTGGCGTTGGGGTTACAGAACCCAGGTACACGATGTACCCTGTCTATTTCTATATGCTCGGTGACAGGACGGTCAAGGAGAGTATTGAGAATGCCAACAACAGTGGCCCGGAGGTCCCGGGTACCAGTGGCCTCAGGTATACCCCTGAGACGGATGTTATTACGTCTGCTGCGGTCTTCCTGGTCATCAATCATTGACCACATAGTGTGCAGGGTTGTATCGTGGTGCTGAGCAGCTTGTTGCAGCTCCTCGATGGCCGAGGAGATCGTGGGCATGGTATTTTCAAGCGAGTCCAGGCGCTGGTGGAAAGATTGGAGGCCTTCCCGCAGCTCCGCCATATCCTGTTTGTGGGCAGACTCCAGCTTGTGGAACAGGCCTGCAATGTCCTTCTTAGTGGGCAGGAGCGCAAAGTACTTACGGAACGAGGTAGGTATGTCCGCATCCTCACCCTCCATGTCACTGTGATCAGGAGACTCCCGTCCGCCACTAGTGCGGGCCGACTGCAGGGATTCAGGCGAGGAAGGGGGCAGTGAGGGAGCCCGTTTCTCCTTGCCCGACGCCATCTTTGATCCACACGGCGTCTGAGCAGCGCGCCCTGCTTTGGGAAAAAAGGTCTCAATGGCTCGTTTTCTGGTCGAGGGGACCTTCGGTTCTTGCGAGCGAGAACCCCGCTGCATATTGCGACCCATATGGCTCACAATGGAGGTGTTAGGAGAGGTTCTATAGTCGCTGGTCTAGGGGTTGGTGCCGGAGCCTTACAACAGACGTCCGCTCGCGGCCATAGCGAAGCCACGCCCCCCCTTTAAGGCTTTTTTAATGATACTGTTGCTGTATATTGCATATCAGGAATGTATGAATGCATATACTTGGTATTCAAATTGATAATTTGGAAAAGAACCGAGTGGTTTGCTTTAATAATGCTGTGTTTGTATTTCTGTTTAGGAATCTTGGCTTTAAAAGCTCATGTAGCAGAGCGGCGGGGAGAACGGGAAGAGCTGCAAGATGCTCATACAATATGTTATGACCTTGCCCAGGAATGTGAGCCTATGCCAGCTGACGTGTAAGTAGCTAGTAAGCCTGCTGTGCTTGCACTGATCATACTTATATACACATTCTGTGTTTGTATTTTAGAGAAAAAGCCCAATACACTAGATTTTTTTTCTTTTATCAAAGTCTGAGCTTAGGTCATATCGATAATAGGACATATCAGTTTCATGTCATGATTGCAGCAAAGTTTTAAATGCAGTGTTATCCCTCATGTCTGCCAGAATTATTACATTTCTACTCCATTCGCGACCGCTTTCAACTCTCTCCAGTTGGAGGATCTTCTGGACTCTAGTAGAGACCAGCGACCCTGCGCTAGCCTTTCCGCTACATGAGCTCCCCATCCCCAAGCACTGGCATCTGTGGTCAAGCGTATGGAGGCCTGAGAACTCCACTCCAGACCCGCCCGAAGGTGTGGATGAATTCTCCACCACCACAGGCTTCTCTTTACTGAGGGGGGGAGGGAAAAAGCAACGTCCAATCCCTCTTGCGAGCGATTCCAGTTCCTCAGGAAGAACTGTTGCAGAGGTCTCTGGTGGAACCGAGCCCACTTTACCGCCGGCAGGCAAGCGGTCATGAGACCCATGACCGAAGCCACCACTCATAGTGACACCGCCCGACTCAACTGAAGCCGACTGACTGCCGAGGAGACCTTGACCACCTTCTCCTGAGGAAGGAAAATCCTCTGCTGGTTGGAATCCAAGATGTACCCCAGATAAGCAATCACCTGAGAAGGTTCTAGGTTGGATTTCTGGATATTCAAAATCCATCCCAGCCCCTGAAGCCAATCCTGGGTCACCATTAAATCCCTCCGAAGCTGCCCGGCGGATGGTGCCGACAGGAGGATATCGTCTAGGTAAGGAATTATATTTATTCCCTGTAACCGTAACGGGACCAGAGCCTCCAACACCTTCGAAAAAATTTGAGGTGCTGAAGAGAGACCAAATGGCAGAGCCCTGAACTGGAGGTGGTGAACAGTTGAACCCATCCTTACCGCTAGTCTCAGGAACTGCTGAAAGGCTGGGTGTATTGGGATATGGAGATAAGCATCTCTTAAATCCAGAGACGCCATGTAAGCTCCCGGCTGCAGGATGTTTCTTATAGAGAAGATTGACTCCATCCTGAACCTCTTGTACCTTATGACCACGTTCAGGGGCTTTAAATTCAGTATCAACCGATACTGGCCTGAGGGCTTTAATACCAAAAAAACGTGAGAGTAAAACCCCTTCCGCTCTTCCGGAGCCGGAACTCTGGAAATGACTCTCTGATCCACCAGATCTCCCAGCAAGAGTGACAATGCCCTTGCCTTTTCTCCCTGACGCGGGAGGTGCGTGACTAGGAACCTTGTGGGAGGAATACCGCTGAATTCTAGCTTGTAACCCTCCCTGATCAGGCCTAGTATGAACTGGTTGGAGGTAATCCTTGACCACTGAGGGAAGAATGCCTCCAATCTTTCTCCCACTGGAAGAAGATAGTCATTGGGGCTTTGGCTGAGGCTGGGAGGGTGTGTTAAACAGAATCCCCCCTCTTCCTTTAGCTTTCTGACCCGTCCAATGCTTCTTGGGCTTGTCCCCTTTATTTTCCTGAGGCCTACCCTTCTGGTTCCGAAAAAATTTCCGAAAAGGCTTTTTCTTCTTTTCTGGAAAAGCCTTTTTCTTGTCAGCCGTTCTCTCCAGAATATTCTCTAACTCTGCCCCAAAAAGCAAGTCACCTGAAAAGGGGAGATTGCATAACCTCAGCTTTGAGGCCGCATCTCCCTCCCATGCTTTCAACCACAGGGCCCTGCGGGAAGAGTTAATAAGGGCTGAAGATCTGGCCGACATCCGCACAGATTCTGCTGATGCGTCTGCGATATAACCTACCGCCTTGAAGAGCACAGGTAGTGACTCCAAGAGTTGTGCTCCCGGGGTACCCGCCAGCAGATGCGTTCTAAATTGCGAGAGCCAAAACTCCATGTTCCTGGCCACGCATGTGGTAGCCAGAGCAGGTCTAAGGTTCATTGAAGAAGAGTCCCATGCTCTTTTCAAAAGAACCTCAATCTTCTTATCCATGGTGTCCCTCAAAACCCCCATGTCCTCGAATGCTAAGTCAGATCTCTTGGATACCCTAGCTAACAGAGCATCCAGCTTAGGAGATTTATTCAACACCAAGGCTGGATCCTCATCAAAAGGAAACCTCCTCTTGAGGTTTCCTGACTTCAGAGGCTTTCTCTCAGGCTCAGCCCACTCTTTGAGAATAGTCTCTGACAAGACCTTATGTACCGGGATGCATTTAGATTTCTTAAGCTGCAAACCTTGATACATAAGGTCGTATCTGGATAACTGCACCTGCTCTTCCTGGATCTCTAACGTGCCATAAATTGCAGTCAGTAATTCATCCACATCCTCCAAGGATAATTTATACCTGGAAGAGCTAGGTACATCGTCTTTGACACTCCCTTCCTCGGATGATGAACCACCCTGAGAAGGACCGGGCTCGCTAAGATCCTCCCGCTCAGAAAGCCGTAAGGATCCCGTCGGCCCCCCCTGAGCAGCCAGGACAGAGGCAGAAAAAGGCACAGGGGTAGAAGCAACTGTGGGAATTGGAGCCCGGAACCCCTCTAAAACAGACCTAAAGGAATTAAACGTAGCCGATAACTCCTCCTTAACAGAAACCAACAGGTTGCTACTGGCTGCAGCAGACTCTTCCCTAAGAAGATCTCCAATGCATTTCTGACATAGGGTTTTAATATAACCGGAGCTCAATTTCACCGCACAAATTGCA